AATAAAGAAAAAAACTCGCACTTTTACTTCCGCAGTTTTATCACTGAAAAATTCTCGTAAATGGACCATTAATTGTGTAAACATACCGAAGGGTAGGGGCAGTCCGCAGATGATTACTTTTTTTACATAGGAAAGGGAGGGTGTTAGATCTTTTGTCTAAAAGACTATTGAAACGGCGTGTATTTCAATGGAAATTAGGAAAGGCAAACACGGGGAATGTCGAAATAAGGAAGAAGATATAATTTCGACACATATAGAACTTTATTCTTCATTGAAGAAGATCATAAAAACATGTGTTCATTTCAAAGAGGAATACATGGTTCGGTTAGCCGCAGTTTTCTGACTATTCCTATATGAAAATGAGAAGGTTTTGATGAACTTGGTAAATCAAAAAAGCTTTTTATTGACATAGATATAAAAGTTCCATGAATTCCGATGGAAGTGTCGAAATTAGAAAATGACAATAAAGAAAAAAAACTCTAGATACATTCTTATTCTGACCTGTTTATCTCAGTTAATACAGCCGATTACTCAAATATTTTTACATCGATCGACGGGCGGAATCTCACCTACACAAAAAGTTTTACTCAGTCTTAATAATTAACTGAGATTAACATGAAATTCGAAACATAAAAAGTTTAGTGTTGAAAGTAGGGTATGTGACTCTATCAGGAGAAGAGAAAAAGATGATCTATTATCTTCCATTTTGCTTGGCTTTATCATACGCCTGAAGGTTTTAAAAGTGGACGATAGGAGGTCTACTTTTTATCAACTAAAAAATTGAAAATATTTAGTTTTTATTTTAAGAAATCGGATGTGCCGCTGTGTATACCGAGGAATATCATAAAGCCCGTCAAGACTATATGGACTGGAGTCTAAAATGGGCAGACAATGAAAATCATCGTTTTACTACCAGCAAGAAAAGTATCACAGATGATGATATAGTAATTGGACAACAGGATATGGTAAAACTAGTATGGTCCATCACTAATCGTGATCCATATTTTCAGAAAATAAAGTTGAAAGAGAAAATGCAGATCATAATTAGGTTACACAATCCTGTTAATGAAGATACAATTTACAACAATGCTGGCAATAAAAAGCAGTTAAGTTTTACATTTGAAGAATTAAAACTCGTTTTGTCTCACTGTTTACGTGACCTTGTTGACAGAATAAGTATTATTGATAGTTCCCCCGTTGTTTTTGCACCAGATAAACGTAAGAATCCTTGATCCTCGTCATAATTAAATTACTCTACATCAGACATTCTTTTTTTAGATAGGAAATTTGATGTTAGCAATGATAAATGGATGGCTATGTTTAATGAAAATATTAAACCATTATTATTGGATGATTCAATTAAATACTTGATTGTGTGTGGAGCTTCTGCAAGTGAACGACTAGAAAAGACTAAAGCGATCGTTTGTGGAATATATGAAGATAAAAGTAAAGTTCGTGATGTGCATAAGTGTATTTATAAAGGTGGAAAGTATCCTAGAGTATTTTATGTTATTTTTACCACCCACCCCTCGGCTGATGCTATAAATGGTGCAATTCCAAATAGGGTCAGATATGAATTATATCAAGCACTCAATTATTATTATTACTACATTAACAAGAAAGAAGCTGAAAGAAATACACAATGAAAAGATATTTTTTCATAAATTCATAGACTAAAAGTCTAACACATGCATTTGGTTTGGAAAAATCTAAAAAATGAAGCTATTCATAAATCACTTAGTCATGTTTTTTTTATTTATAAACTTTTATTGAAAAAGAAAAAAGAACGATTGTGCAAGCGGCTTTCGCCATATGTGCGCCTTAAAATGTTTAAAAAAGAACGTATAATGAGCTTAAAAGGAGAAAGGAAGAAAAAGTGAAAGAGAAAGCTCACGCAAGAGATGGTCATTCGGGTTTTCTGACAACATTTCAAGCGGCTAAAAATCTTAACTTGCGTTATACATGTGATTTTGAAAATAATTAGTTAGATGTATCTAAGATAGATCTGTCCTCAAGCTGGCTGGGCACTAACAACCAAAGACGAGGGTTGGCACGGTGTCCTCCAGTCTAACCAGCATTTATATTCGGACAGTCGAGTCTGAAGGCGAACTTCGCCTTAAGATCCAGATTGATCACCAGATTCTCTCTCTTAATGTACTTCTCGAGCTGGCGGCTAAAAATACATAAGAGAGCAGTTTTATAACATTTCGGCAATTAATCATCAAATAAGGTAACAAAAGGGCAGATATGGTAATACTAAGCTTTTTGCAAGATAACAATTGGTGATTCTCGTACACCTACTGATAGTTTTCGATATTTAACATCGACTAAAACTCCGCTGTTCAGATATCATATATGCTGTGTGTGTGTGTGTGTTTAATAACTGAAGAAACTTCTATTCTACATTTCTTTGCAAAAGAAACAAAAGAGTAATAGTTTCATGTGCATGGAAGACAGGAAGAAAAAAACAATGTTCTCGCCAAGTATCGAACTTGGGACCTTCTGCGTGTTAAGCAGATGTGATAACCACTACACCACGAGAACACATTCTACTGTTCATCAGTCAGATTTCTGGAGAATCTACTTCAATTGTCATTCATGACCGCACAACATAATTTTCCATACTTCCATAAGACATCTTGAATCTGTTGTTTTCTTCATTAGATTTTCGATATGTTCAGTCAATTTTCCGATCTGATCAAACATGTCTTCGATAACATGACTGGTGACGGTGGATATAGAGATCATTAACGAATAAAATTTCTAATTATAGACATAAAATTGATGATGAGTGGCTGACATGAAATATCTTGTACTGTTCCGCAGGATCGATGACCGTCATCAAACATGTTTGCAGTGAGAGCGGCTAGTTCGATTATATTAGAACCACAATGTGAGCGAATTATTAAAGTGTTTATGCCAGTGTCGATAGCGAAGGCTGCACTGTTTCAACCGAAAAAGACTTTCCAAGAAGAAA